GTGACCGGCAGGGGTCGCTAGGGGGTCATCCGGGCTTTTCCTCCTCCGTAGATCTTCCTCGTCTTTCTCCTGGTCTTTCTTGGAAGCCTGGTATTCAGACAAGACAGCAGTTAACAGACACATAGAGATAAACAGCATCTACATACTATTCAAAAGAGACAAAAGGCCAGAAGATCGCCTCTCCAGCAATCATCACCCAGATAAGCAGGGATTACCACCAGGCACACAATCAAGCAGCAGACACATGCTAATCAAAGAACTACCAGAGGACCAAAACAAAACCCCCACCCCACCAGCACTGGCAAGGCAGGCCACAGCACATAAATAGAGAGCAAATCCCATCCCATTCTAGCACTGAAGATGTTACCTAGCCGGGTAATGAAATGTTTGCAAGGAAAGAACCAAGCTCAGAGAACCCCAAGGACTCCACATTTATAGGCTGCCCCAGTCTCTTTCAACTCTGGGCAGCTTACAAAACACAACAATAAAAAATACTGTAAAACACAAAAATTATCACAAAGCTGGGAGAAAAACAATTTTAAAACAAGAATGCTCTACGATGGTTCCCTCACCTGCTCTAACCCAAGGCCAGGGGATAGAACCAGGTCTTAAAGGCTTGTTTAAAAAGGGGCAGGGTGAGGGCCATGCAAATCTCAGGAGGGACGGTGTTTTAAAGAGTAGGACCCATGATAGAGAGGACTTGCTTCCTGGGTTCTGCCAGGTGACATTATTTAATCAATGGGACCTGGAGCATATGAGATGGGAAGAAACTATGGGAATAGGTGATTCCTCAGATAACCTGATGCTATGTCATGAAGGGCTTCATAGGTGATAACCATCACCTTGAATTGCACTGGTAGCCAACTAGCAGTCAATGCAGTTCACAGAGCAGAGGTGTCACACGAGCATGTCATGGCCTATCCATAACTGCACATGCTGCTGCATTCTGGACCAGTTGCAGCTTCCAAGTGGTCTTCAAGGCAGCCCTATGTAGAGGGTGTTGCAATAATCTAATTGTGAGGTGCCCAAAACATAAGAGTATTTTAAACGGTTTCTGATCTAGGTATGGGTGGAACTGGTGCACTAGGTGAATTTGTGTAAAGGAACCCTTGTCCACACCTGCTACCTGGTGCTCGAGCAGGAACTGCCAAGTCCAAGAGGACCCCCATGTTATGCACTAGTCCTGAAGAGGGAAGTGCAGTCCCATTCAAAGCCAAAGATGGAACCACTCCAGATTCAGGAGCTCCAAACATCCACAGCCACTCAATCTTGTCAGAGTTGAGCCTAAATTTGTTCCTCCCCATACAGACTCATACAGCCTCCAGACACTGAGACAAGATCTTGACAGCATCACCTGGCCAACCCAGGGCCAAGATGTATAGCTCGGTATCATGCAGCCTGCAAATGGATGGATGACCTCACCCAGTGGTCTCATGTAGATGTTAAACAAGAGGGGTGGGAGCATTGAGCCCTGATGTACCCCACTTAAGAGGGGTTTCCCTCCCCCTCCACATCAACACCAACTAGACCCATCCACAGAAAAAGGAGAACACCATGAGCCCCACTCTCAATCCCTGCAGACACTTCAGAAGGATGCTGCAGTTGATGATACTGAAAACTGCTGAGAGATCAAGTTGAATCAGGGTGGTTGCACTGTCCCTGTCCAAGCACTGCCAGAAGTCATCAATGAGTGTGACCAATGCGGTCTCAGTACTATGCCCTGGGTTAACCAGTCTGAAGGTGGTCTTTAGATTAGAGATTCTGAAATACACAGAATAGCATAGCATGAACAAAACCCAGAGTAAAACTGGTTTTGCATTGCATTTCTGGCATAGTGGCCAAAACTGACCAGTACTGAATCCTTACCATTAGCAAGGAATACTCCATGTGCCAAGGGCATGACGGGCTTATCATTAGTCCCACGTGCCACAGCATAAAGACTCCTAACTGTTTTTGGAATACATGTCCTTAGAACATCATCTCCATTTCAGCCAACTGCTGAGGCAGCCTAAAGTCATATTTAGTGTTCAAGCAGTGTTTTCCCTAGTTGCCTGGCACAAATCTTGCCATTCAAACAGTCTACCATGACCCAGTGATGCTGCTGCTGCTGCTGCCAGTGCACTCAGGGCAAAGGAATTGCTGAAGTCCCCAAGAGGGACGCTACCATCCCTTTCTGTGACTTGCACAGATTTTTTGTGGGAGAGGGTTGGATGCAGGAATATTGATCTCCCAAAAGAATAAATGCTGTCCTTTCAGGAGAATATTTCTTTGTCAAAACCAACACTTTTCCTCCCAAAAAAGCATTACAGATTGGTGGGCAGATGAAACTGCGTGATGGGCTATGAGTGAGTTCACATGCACATTGATGGAGGTCCCTGTGAGTTCGTTCAGCTTTCTACCTCAGGAGGTGGGGAGAAGAAGGTTCCTTCCCAGGCATCACCCAACAGATCATTTGCTTATTGAGGAAATGGAAGTGCTAGGCATACATGTGTGTTTAAAGAAAACGAAAGGACTCCAGACTTGGTCTCCATCTGCGTGAAGCAGGACCACTTTCCCTCCCCCCAAAATACTCGGACTGCAGCAGAGCCCAGGGCAGTGCTTTGAAAAATATGGGCGTTTCTGGCCATGCCGCTTGCTTTACCTGTGAGGTCAGGAAAGGGGCCCCTTGGCAGAAGAGGAGGAGCGAAGTCGCCTTCTAGGGGGTCTCAGTTTGGAGGCTTTCCCAGCTATAATTGGGGAGGGCAGGGAGGAGGCCCCAGAGTGAGCTCCAGCCTGCTTTTGCTCTTAGAAACCGTGCTGTGGAAAAGAGCCGTGTGGTTGCCTAGCTTGTGCAGCCTTTTTGATGACTGGGTTCAGATGGATCCATCCGTCGCCTGGAAGAGTGGTGGTGTTGCTTTATATCCTGGAGGAAATCTATCTAGCTGTTGGCTAAGAGTCAATGCCAACTTGATGGCAATATGTATGCAGGCACACACTTATGCACAAATATTTAATACAGTTTAGAGGCCGCCCGACTCCAGAAGACTCTGGGCAACTTGTGTTTAAAAAAAGGTAAGAACAATGAAAAGAAAGATACAAGTCATAAACATCCAGAAGGCAAGCTTTGTATAACCCTAAACATCCTGTGCCCCAAGGCCTGGGAGCAAAGCCGAGTTTTCAAAGACTCAGAATATCATCAAGATGGGACCTGTATGGATCTCTGGGGAGATGCTGTTCCAGACAGCAGGTGCTGTGACAGAAAGCCAGCTTCTTGGATCCAAATAGATGACACTGCTTGATGTAGGATCCTAACTTAAGCCAAAACAAAATATCCTGAAAGAACTGTGGGGTAGGAGCAGTCTGTGCTTGAGAATGGGATCATGGTTCCCTGTTCTCCTTCCTTTTTTAAAGGTGTGGAAGATTGGTTCAGCAGTGATCATCTCCATCTTAGGTCCTCTCTTTAATTCCTGTTTGAGAACTAACAACCTCAAGGTTAGCATTAAGGTGACATTTTGCAGTTTGCTGAAATCTGCCTTCAGTTCCTGAGGGTTCTGTAGCAATTGCCTTGTAGGTTTTGTCAGTGAATGGGTTTGTCTGCCCTCCCCCACCCCACCTTTTTTAAAATAATGTTGTTTTATTTCCTTTGATGCAGGTGCTTTGCTATGTAATTCCAGTTCCAGTTCACAGAGCTGCTCAGAAGGCAATTCATGGACTCTTCCATACACGGTATCGCTCATCTGCTTCTTTATTTGCTCCATTCTCTGGCATTTCTGAATATTAGCACTTGTGGGCTCTTGGAAAATCCTAGCTTGGTAAAATGGCTTCCAGTCTCTTTCACACTGGCAACATCCCTTCTACATACCCACCTCTTAGTTTTAGACTGCATTCAGTTTTGTGGTACCATGTTGATCTTTAAGTTTTGTTTGGGATGACCTAACCCTAACTCTCTTTCGTCAGTGTCTTTGATTTATTGGAAGCAAATTGCTCCTGCATTTGCAAGAAGCCTGACATGCAATTGTAATACATTCAGCATTCCCACAACATGCTGAAGGCCAGACCCCAGGGGCCCCCCCTAGACGCTCCCAGCATCCTGTTTGTAGCTCCCAGAGCAGCTACGGAACAGAGGAGGCACTTCTTAACCAAGCTTCTCAGCCTACACCAGGAGTGGCAGTATTTTTGTGCTCCAGAGCCACCTTTTAATTCTTTTGGCCACCCAGGAGCTGTTGCCAGTATCAGTGCAACAGCAAGAGTGCCTACATTTGGATGTTTCTGTGGGGTTGGTCTTTGGAAAAGGAACTGCGTATAAGCCAAAGCAAGTAATAAATATGCTACCCTAAAACTACAAAAAGTGGAACCAGCCTTGAAGGCCTGTTGTGCAAATGCAGCTGGCAGGTTAGGTGAATTCACCCATAGTGTCTGTACTGAATTCTCAGTTAGGATTCAGAACAAGTGTTGAGTCTTGATAGGAAATCCCAGGTCAGAGGAAGTTCTCTTTCCCTTGAAAGTCTAGAAATCTCATTCTCTTCTTGCTGCAGAAATCCTTTCTTTGTGGTCTTGCACTTGATCTTGGAAGGGCTGGTTTATGGCGAGTATACGTGGGAAGTGTTTGGCTACTGCCAAGACCTGGAGTTCAGCAGGCTCTTCCTCATCCTTCCTTACCTCCTGTTGGCTGTGAATGTTGCTTTCTTCATCCTCTGCTCCAAGACTAACCCAGGTGAGGCCATTTTCCTTGGAATCTCAGCTCTTGGACCCTGGGGCTTTCTTGGGTGGGCTGCTGATTGTGTTCCACTGCTTGCTGCCTGGCTGTGGACTGGGCAAGTGATGGGCATGGTAAAGCTTGTTCTCTTTCCACACCAGTTCTTCCTTAAGGCTTGAATACGCTGTGGAGTCTTCCACAATATATCTACTTAAGAGGCCTGATTGCCAATATACTCTTACTCAAAGATAGATACTACAAGTTAACCTAGCTCCTCTTCTGTCTGTGAGGTGTCGCTTGGGCTACTTCTGAACACGGGTCTACAATTCTCCCAAAAGAACCTGTGTTTAAACACAGCCTAATGCTCATGGGGTAAAGCAGGAGGTAAACAGTAACAGATGAGTTATATCCTGGACTAATGCTGCAAGAAAATGGCAGTGCCAGCAACCAGGACCTAGGGAATCCAGGTCTGGCTCATAGCCAGCAGTATCTAGCATCACCAGAGCCACAGTGGAATAGGCAAATTGTACCACCTCCCCATCACCTGGTAATAAAAATGGTATATATATAAAAATTGGGGTTTGGCCACACCTCCCAACTTTTGTGTCATTTCATAATCAGCATATCAATCCCATCATCCAGGTTATTAATAACAGTGTTGAATAATACTGGCTCCAAGAGGGGATGTGGCCCGCAGCCTAAATTGGCCATGAGGAGCTGAGTAGTTCCCACTCCTCTGACTGGGTCAGAAGCCATATCATTGGTGAAGTATGCCAAATTGTATCCAGTCATTTTTTAGGACAAAGAGGGAAAACAGTGCTTTAAAACTGGAACACAAGAAAACAACTTGAGCCGCCTCAGCTGCTGGTTGGAAATCAGATGAAGGCAGGATGCAAAAAAGTGGTTATCTGAGTATATCTGTGGTGCAGTTAGGGGGATGTGAGGAGCAGCCCAGGGTCCGGGGGAGCAGACACTTCTTCTTAACAGAGTTTGAGCAGAAGTTTGCTTCAGAGGAAAACAGCCCGGATTTTCTTTCAACTGTGTCTGATCTGGACACTCAGTGTTAACCTTATGGTACTCAAGGTAGATGATAGGAAGGAATTCTCACAACAGGCGAGACACTACAGTCCCCACTGTTCTGCTAGTGAGAATTTTTGCTTTTTCCCACCCAGGTACCATAATGAAATCCAACCAGCTTCTGTTTCTTCATGCATATGCATATGATGGTGTGATGTTTCAGCAAGATGTTGAATGCCTTACCTGCACAGTGAGAAAACCAGCCAGATCTAGGCACTGTGGTAAGAGTTTCAATTTAACATTTCTCTTAGAGAAGTCTATTTATGCATTAAGATCTGCTTCAAAACTTCTGGTCTGGGCCCTGCCATCATTTGGAGTGAGATCAGTGGGGAACCTTCCTTGTCTAGTACCCACCTCTCCATAGCAAAGGAATCCTGTCTCAGGAGAGCATCCTGTCCCACAGAAAACTAAAACGTGCCCTACAGGCATTGTTCCTTCTGCTGCCTGGAGGCTGGGCCAAAATTCCCCAGTGTTTGTTTTTGTTTTTTAAATGACGGCTTGATGGACATTAGGAACCTTCCCCAGAAAGGACCAGCTGGAATGGACCCTGCCCAAAGTCCAATGGGAGGAGGGGGGCTACCTTGAAGGATCAGAAATGCTCCCCATGAGTCACTGAGAAAACATACCCCCCCTTACATATATTCTCGCTTGTTATCCCTTTGCACTTTTTCCAGATCAGATTTTAAGTCTGTGCTGCCAAATTAACTTTGTATTACTTGCTTTAATGCAGAATGGGATTGTATGGGAAGTAGCATAGTAGTACTTTGTTTTGATTTCTTAAAATCTTGATCCTTCTCCGGGTCTGCTCAGGTGTGTGCCGCAGCTGTGTGCATCGTTTTGATCACCACTGCATTTGGGTCAATAACTGCATTGGCGCCTTCAACATCAGATTCTTCCTTTGCTACCTGCTCACTTTGACCTCCATGGCTGTTTCTATTGCAACTCTAACAGCCAGCTTTCTCATCCAAGTGGTCCTTTTGTCAAATATTATGCTGGGACATTATACTGATGACCAAGGTCAAGAACATCCAGTTGATACCTTCTTTCTTATTCAGGTAACTATTAACTAACTGCTGACTCACGGGAGTGGGATCCCTGTGCATTTTTCAGGAGGGTAGGATGCCGAACTACAGACTGGGTTTCAGAAGCCTGCCTGACACAGCAGAATGGGTTGAAAACAGATGTTTTTGCCTTGGACACTAAATGAAAACATTGATATAAGGACATTAAATGAACATGCTTGCTTTTTAATCAGTGTCAAGACCTATCTTGAAGGTAGTTATTTGTTAAATTGGTTTTGTCTCTGAAGCAAGCAGAAAAACTGAAAACTGAATTTGGCTGATTAGAAGAACTACTTAAGATTATTCAAAATCCTAATTTCTATGTTTGTGTTTTCATTTCATTTATATTTGATTGTCTTTTAGATTGTTATATACAGTCAGGTCCAGAAATATTGGGACATCGACACAATTCTAACATCTTTGGCTCTATACACCACCACAATGGATTTGGAATGAAACA